AGGTCCAGGGGGAGCCCCCCCCGCCAGGCCCTGCCGCCGTCCTTCTCCAGCACACCCACCCCCAGAAGGGGGGTCCGGCCCCCTGCCCAGGAAGAGGGGGCTGAGGGCGCTGGAGATGGAGTGCCCGGAGGAGGAGGAGGAGGAGGACACCGCAGCAGCGGCCTGGGATTGGGGCCACGCGGCCACCCGGTCCCGCCTGGAGGAGGCCCACTTCCCCGCGAAGGCGGAGGCGGCAGAGCGGAGTGAGTTCTGGGCCTTCTGGGAGCGGCTGCGGCGCTTCCGTGGCCGGCCGGCGGGTGAGAAGGGCCCTGGAGGCGCTGGCCCGCCCGCCCGGCGGCAGGGGTACGATGCCCGCTGGCGCATCAACCTGCGGCTGCCGAGGGGGCGGGAAGTGGCGGGCGTGCCGGAGGCCCGGGTGCAGGAGTTCCGCCGAGCCCTGCTGCACTTCCTGGACTTCCAGCAGAAGCGCAGTTTCGCCCGCCTGGCCCAGCTGCAGCGAGACCGGGCCGCCTTGCCCATCGCGCGCTTCCGGGAAGCGCTGCTGACCGCAGTGGCCCGGAGCCCGGTGGTGGTCGTGGCCGGGGACACGGGCTGCGGCAAGTCCACGCAGGTGCCGCAGTTCCTCCTGGACGCCGGCTACACCCACGTGGCCTGCACCCAGCCCCGGCGCATCGCTTGCATCGCCCTGGCCCAGCGGGTGGCCTACGAGAGCCTGCAGCGCTACGGCAACCAGGTGAGCTTCGCCCGCAGCAGCAGCAGACCGGGGGTGGGGGGGCGGGAGGTTGGTCCCTGGCGGGGCCTGTCTGTCTGTGGCAGAAGCCAGACCCACCGTACCCGTCTGCTGCTCTCGGCCCACCAGGTCGGCTACCAGATCCGCTTCGAGAGCTCCTGCTCCTCCGCCACGCGGATCGTCTTCCTGACGGAAGGGCTGCTCCTGCGCCAGGCCCAGCGGGACCCCACCCTGCCCGGCTACCACGTCCTGCTCGTGGACGAGGCCCACGAACGGCGCCTGCACGGGGACTTCCTCCTGGGACTGCTGCGCCGGCTCCTGCCGGCCCGGCCCGACCTCAAGCTGGTGCTCATGTCCGCCACCATCAACATCCGGCTCTTCGCCGACTACTTCGGGGGGGCCCCCGTCGTTCAAGTCCCCGGCCGGCTCTTCCCCATCACGGTGAGGAGGAGGAGGAGGAGGAGGAGGCTCCTCTGAGGTGGGGCAGGGTGGGGCGGCCTTTGCCAGGTGGAGGAGGCGGTTTCAGTGGGGCTTTGGGAGTCTTTGCTGAGCCCTAACCCTCCCTCTCTTCCGGGTCGAAGAGATTGCAGCCAGAGCAGACCGTGTCTTTCCTTTCCCGGCTGTATTTCTGTGGCCGTGAAGGTTGGAGAGGGGGGCGTGAGAGGGGCGAGGGGTCAGGCAGACCCGCTGGGCTGTGCGGAGCTTCACGGCACGCCTTCCGTCTGCCCCTCCCTCCCCCCCCCAGGTCCTGTACGAGCCCATCCCCCCGGAGGAGGGTGGGGCCGGCGGGCGTAAGGAGCGGCTGGACCCCCGGCCCTACCTGCGTGTCCTCCAGGCCATCGACCACAAGTACCCTCCGGAGGAGAGGGGGGACCTCCTCGTCTTCCTCAGCGGCGTGGCTGAGATCGGGGCCGTGGTGGAGGCGGCCCAGGCCTACGCCACTCACACCCAGCGCTGGGTGGTCCTCCCTCTGCACAGCACCCTCTCCGTGGCCGAGCAGGACAAGGTGAGAGGCGGGGGGGGGGCTCGGCAGGCAGCCCCGAGCCGGCCTCCCTTGAGCGGGGTGGGAGGCTTTTCAAGGGAAGGGCCGGAGTGGTGCTTTGGAAGCGGCAGTTAGTGGCCCGTCTCGTCCGGAAAGGACGGCTGGATGCAAAGGCCAGGGAAAAACGCCAGTGGAGGGAAGTCAGTCAGAAGAGCTCCAGCCCTCTTGGACCGGTGGGATGTGGCGCGACGGACGCCTGGGTCCTCTTCGCCTCTGTGCGAGAAGAGAGAGCTGCCCGCGGGTGCAGAGGAGGGGCTTCTTAACTGCCTTGTCCCCTTCCCCTTCCTCCTCCCCCCCCCGGCAGGTATTCGACATGCCCCCCCCGGGAGTCCGGAAGTGCATCGTCTCCACCAACATCGCAGAGACATCGGTTACCATTGACGGTGTCCGATTTGTGGTGGATTCAGGTACATAAGAACACAAGAACATAAGAGATGCCAGTGTTGGATCAGTCCAACACTCTGTGTCACACAGTGGCCAGAAATACCAGTGCCATCAGGAGGTCCACCAGTGGGGCCAGGACACTAGAAGCCCTCCCACTGTTGACCCCCCCCCCCAAAGCACCAAGAAGACAGAGCATCACTTGCCCCAGAGCCCCTATCTATACCTTGTGGCTAATAGCTCTGCTCCATATGCTTATCTAATTCCCTCTTGAAGCCGTCCATGCTTGTAGCCGCCACCACCTCCTGTGGCAGTGGATTCCAAGTGTTAATCACTCTTTGGGTGAAGAAGTACTTCCTTTTATCCATTCTAACCCGACCGCTCAGCAATTTCATGGAGTGCCCACGAGTTCTTGTATTGAGAGAAAGGGATAAAAGTACCTTGTATTGTGAGAAAGGGAGAAAAGTAGAAGCGGGAGAGCCAGTTTGGTGTACTGGTTAGGAGCGCGGACTCTAATTTTGGAGAACCGGGTTTGATTCCCCACTCCTCCTCCGCATGCAGCTGCTGGTGTGACCTTGGGTCAGTCACAAGTTCTCTCAGAGCTGTCATTGAAAAAAAGAGCCGTTTCCGTCAAGAGCTCTCTCAGCCCCACCCGCCTCACAGGGGGTGTCTGTCTGTTGTGGGGAGGGGGAGGGAAAGGAGTTTGGAAGCCGCTCTGAGACTCCCTTGGGTAGTGAAGGGCCGTGGGGTACGAATCCAATCTCCCCCTCCCCCCCTCCTTTCTGGCGGCTGGGGTGGGCTGCCTGGGGCACGTGGAGCCTCGCTAGCGGTGTGGGGAGCCGCTTCTCCTGTCCTTCAGCTCTGGCAGGGAGGAGGGGGCGCTTTGGCCTCTCTGGCTCCACTGCAGGGGGGGGGGCACGTCTCCTTGGCCTCCCCAGGTGCCTGGAGCAGGGATCTGCCCCCAGGAACTGTGGGGTCTCCTCTCCCTTCCTTCTTTCAAAGAGGGAGCCGGGTGGTTCGGCTGGTAGCTGGAAGAGGACTGGGTGTTCTGGCAGGGCTGAGTGAGGGGCTCAGGGGCACCGTGTCCGTTCAGTGCCCAGGGAGGCGGGGTGGGTCCCACAGTCCCTTCTGGGCAGCCAGCCCCTGGCGGTGCCCTGCGCTGACCCGAAGCCCCTCCTTGTCCCCCCCCCCCCGGCCGGAAAGTGAAGGAGGTCAGCTACGACCCGAAGGCCAAGATGCAGCGGCTGCAGGAGTTCTGGATCAGCCGAGCCAGCGCCGAGCAGCGCAAGGGGCGTGCCGGTCGGACGGGGCCCGGGGTATGCTACCGGCTCTATGCCGAGTCGGACTACGATGGCTTTGCGGCCTACTCGGTGCCGGAGATCCAGCGTGTGGCTCTCGACGCCCTGGTGCTGCAGGTAAGGGGCCGTGCTGGTCTCCACTTGTGGCCGGCCGGACCTTCTCTTGGCTGGCCGCCCCCGGGGAGGGCACGTGGCCACGCAACGGGCAGGGTCTGGGAGGCAGCTCAGGCCGGAGGCAGCTTCTGCCCTTTGTCCGGTTCTGCCTGAGCCCCGCGGGGGCCCCTGGCTCCGTCCCTGACCCAAAAGGCATCTCTCGCTGCAGGGCTAAGAGAGGCCACCCCGGGGGTGGCATGGTCGGCAGTGCCCTGGTCGCTGCAGGGCTAAGAGATGCCACCCCGGGGGTGGCGTGGTCGGCAGTGCCCTGGAGCAAGTGGGGGTGGAGACCGGAGGGGGGGGAGGGAGGGGGGGGTTGTCTCCTGCCCGTGGCTGGAGCAGGGGGCTGGCGCTGCCCTTTCCCAGCCGCTTCTGGGACGCGATCCTGATTTGGGGCAAAACGAGGGGCCGGGCATGGTGGCCGGTGGAGTGCCCGTGTGACCCATCCGCACCAGCCGTGTGGAGAGGGAGAGGCCCCGTCTCTGTCCCGGCGTGGACGTAGTCCAGGGTCTGGCTTGGCCTGGCCCGCCCTCCCACGGGGGGGGGGGTTGCGGAGGGGGTTGTCCACCGACCTGCCCCTCTCCCCTCCTAGATGAAGAGCATGGGTCTGGGGGACCCCCGAGCCTTCCCTTTCCTGGAGCCCCCCCCTGCGGCCAGCCTGGAGACAGCGGTGGGGTACCTAAAGCACCAGGGAGCCCTGGACCCGGAGGAGGAGCTCACGCCCATCGGGAGCCTGCTGGCCGAGCTGCCCGTGGAGGTGGTGGTCGGTAAGCGGCTGGGCAGGGGGGCGGGGCCTCAGACCCCGGTCAGGTTTCGGGACTTGGCCCCTCCAGTCCCACACTCTGTCTGTCACACAGTGGGGGCCAAAGACACCAGGGGCCATCAGGAGGTCCAGCAGTGGGGCCGGGACACTAGAAGCCCTCCCACTGTTGAACCCCCCCCCCCCAGAGGCACCAAGAACACAGAGCATCCCCTGCCCCAGACCGAGAGTTCCTACCTACACCTTGTGGCTGATGGCCACCGATGGACTTCTCTGCTCCAGATGTTTGCCTTGTAGCTGCAAGAGGTCTATCCTCCCTCTCCGCCCCGTGTCAAAGGAACGTGTGCCTCTAGGGATGCACTGAGTGTCTTTGGGGGGAGTCAGAGCCCTGGTGTGGGGCAGAGCTTGGTCCTCCGGGTTGTGGCAGAGATGTTGCTGGGGGCTGAAATGCCCGGGGGAGGGGGGAGGACTTTGCTGGGGGGGGCAGTGCCCTGGCTGATGCACCCCTGATGCCTGCCTGCTTCCCACCCTCCCTGCAGGAAAGATGCTGGTGCTGGGGACCCTCTTTGGCCTGGCTGCCCCCACCCTGACCACGGCGGCCGTCCTGAGCGTGCCCTCCCCGTTCCTGCGTAGCGGCAGCGGGCGCTGCGACCCCGACTGTGCCACCTCCAGGTGGCCCCTGGAGAGCCCCCTGGGGGACCCCCTCACCTTGCTGAACCTCTTTGACGCCTGGGTGCAGGTGAGCGTGTGCCCCCCTCCCCTCCCCTCCCCCTCCTCCTTGGCCGGCCTGCTAAGCTGCAGCTCTGCCCCCCCCC